ACATTTGCCACAGAGCAGCAGTTAGTGTCATATTTGGTAAGATATTCTTAATCCACTGTTGTTCTCCAAGAGCCATCTGTCTTCTGCACAGGCCAAATAGAGTTTTGAGGGGTGTGGTGTGAATCACCACCCCTTCATCTTTCAGTTTCTTGATGGTAGCACAAACTCTGCAATTACTCCAGGAATGCAATATTGCTTTTCATTTACTATTTTACTAGGTAGAGGCAGTTCAAATGGATTCCATATAGCCTTTAGCACTATAATAGCCCTCACTCTGCATATTAGGGAACCAAAGAGGGAATTCTATCAGCTGTTAAGTATTTCTATTTCAATTATGCATTCTAGATCTGGGAAATAACCACAGGGTGGGCTCAGGAAAACTCTGGACCGACTGCAAGACAGAGCTCAGGTAAAAACCCATTAATCCTTCGACCCCCATAAGCCCCTCCTCTGACTGGAAGGCCATTGTGATGTTTTGGGTCTCTTGGAAACAATGTTTGTTCAGAACCAATGTCCAAGTAGTCCCTGAAAGTTCTAATTATATCTTTTCACCCAACGCAGTTACTCTGGTAAAGGCCATATGTCCCTTTTGGAAAGTCTGGGAGAAATTTTAACAGTAGTATAATGGTGTCCTTCCTCAAGGAGACCTGGTCTCCCCTGAATTTAAGGGGTTCTAGGTCTGTAAACTGTCGCAAGTCAGAGAATTGATTGGTAGGTTGTGACTATTTTTATGATTCAAGTTAACTTTTTATTCATTTGACCTAGAACTTTCCTGCTTATACAGATCAAGTAAGAATTTAGTAGGCTCTCTATCTCTCTCACTTCTAGGAACATCATAAAAAACAGTCAACACCATAGGGTTGTGCTAGTCAGACTATTCTGATTGCTGCTTTGTCTCTGCTGTCCATTAGGGTAACTACACTTACATTGTCCATGGTGATTGAGTGATGTCATTGGCCACTGCCACCCTGGAATCCAATTGCTCCCATGCATTTAGATTTTCCAAATGAGTGGTTGTTGTTCCCACTGTAATATCTGGCCTCAAGAGAAGATAAATCATAAGGCTTATCAACAATGCTGGGGCTCCCCTCTCAAATTTATTTCTCAAATTACTGGTGAAAGGTATGCTTTCTACACCCTCCCAGTGTGAGTGAGTAGGTCTTAAAAGACAAATCCACTCTAACGTTTCAATCTCCCTAAGCTTAAAATGCCTTTATCTACATTAAAACAAGAGAGATGCAGCATTTCCACTTCACTTACAGTGGGCCACCTTTTGAACCATGTCTCAGCCAATGAACCCAACAAACTGTTAGTGCCCTTTCTCACTCCCCAAGCTGCAACATTAAATGTGCGATCTCTGCTTAGTGGGCCTATATCAATAAATTCAGCTGATCCACTTTGTGTTCTTTCCATATTATCTTACACCCTTAATATCCATTCCCACAAATACTCTCAAGATTTATGCTTGTATAAATCAGAAAAATCAAGTAGTTATTTTGGTGTCTAGTGCACCTCCTTTTGGGTCACACTTTGTACCTTACCTTTAGGGGCCTGCTAGGACATGAGTCTCGTCATAGGTGAGAACTGTTTCAATGTGGGTCAGTCCCATTTTCTTAGGCAATGTGATATTAATCCCCTCAGACTGAGGTAGAAAGGCTGATACTTTATGAATTGGGAAGCTGCCATCACTTGGAGTGGGGATGTTGCTGGTACTAGGGAAGGGGAGAGTACTTCCATTCACAAATAAGATGTCACAATCTAGTGAGTTGATATCCTCAGCTTCATCAGCATTTTCCCACATGAAATCCCAACATACAGGATACTACTCTTTCACAATCAGTGCCCTTGATTTAACAGTAGACACCCTAGGATTTTGGGAATTCAACTTTTTGAAATTTATCCAATCAAAGTTTTATTTGTAGCAGTTTCAGTCCTTACGGGAGGTAAGACTATTCCTCAGATCACACTTTGTAATTCTTAGGTCATTGTTGCAATGTTTGAGGTGAGAATTCAGATCTCTAAGTTCATCATTTTCTTTCACCACTTTGTCCAGTGACATTAAAAGGAATGAACAGGGGGCCAGCCCCAAGACCATAAGGGGGTAAGTTTGGTGTGCTCTGCTTCGGTGGCCCAGCTTCAGTTCCTTGGCACGGACCTACACCACTTGTCAATGGCTATGCTGTGGTGGTGACCCACATACAAAACAGAAGAAGACTGGGACAGAAGTTAGCTCAGGGCAAATCCTCCTCAAGCAAAAAAAGGGAAAGATTGGCAACAGATGTTAGCTTAGGGAAAATCTTCCTGAGGATGAAAACAGAGAGGAATGAAAAAATTTCACTATATATCTTATTTTCCCTAAAATGTCTAAAGGTATCATATACAAAGTTATTTAGCTCCTTGATGCTTATAAGTGGTTGATTAGGAATAGCTAATGCAGATTTTTGTGTATCACTATAAATAGTTCATACCATGGACAAATAGTGCTTTGTTTCCTCCTGGAAAGTGAGTCATTAGCATCTTTAAATCTAGTCAAATTGCAATTCCAGAAACCACAGAAGCACGTCAGAAAACTCATTTAAATTCTGTTCCCTGGAACCACTCTCAATTCCAAAATCTATATTAGGGTTCTCCAGAAAAAGAATAGTACTTATAGAATAAATAGACAAATAGATAGAGCTAGACAGATAGCTAGATAGACAGACATATAGATAGATTTATTATAGAAGAGATTTATTATAGAAATTTGCTCAGGAGATTATGGAGGACAGAACTCCCACATTATGCCATCTGCTACCTAGACAACCAGGAAATCCAGTGGTATAATTTAGTCTGAGTCCAAAGGCCTGGGAAACAGGGGAACCAATGGTGTAACTCCTACTTCCAAGCCAAAGGCCTGGGAACAAGGGGGACCTAGGTGTAAGTCCCAGAATTTAAAGACCCTAGAAGCAGGAGCTCTGATGTACAAGGGCAGGAAAAAACGGATGTCTCAGGTGTAAGAAAGGAAAAGGAATTTGTCCTTCCTTTGTCTTTTTGTTCTATTGGGAACCTCTATTCTGACTGGATGATGCTCTACTTTATTGGTGAGGGCATGAACCTTTATGCAGTCTACTAAATCAATGCTAAGCCCTTCCAGAAACACTGTCACAGGCACACTTAGAAATAAGGCTTTACCACCTATATGGACTTCCCTTAACCTGGTCAAGTTGACACAAAATTAACCATCACAACTCCACTCGTTGTCAACTTGACACCTATAAGCATCACCTTCAACCAAACTTAATCTTCAAATAAAGACAATAACAAAGTCATAATTCTGCCTAACATACTATAGAAGTATCCTGTTGTACAACCAAAAATACACTAACCCCTTCCACAGAAAAGGAAGTAAAGTTCTTAAGTGAAGCTTACTCTTCCCCTAGATATTCCTTTAAAAAGAGTACAATGTAAAATTAACACTTAAATACTATGATATAAAGTGAATATGTCTCCATATTACATGATAAGGGACAAAAGAAGATAGACAACAAAGACATTTGCTTAGTATATGTATATATACACACAAAGGTACTCATAACAAAATAAGGAGGAAACACTCATGACAATTAGAGTATTCATTGCTATAACTATAACATATCTATAGCTGGATGCATAACTACCTTCTTTTACTACACATTCTGTATCCCCTTTGCCTCAGCAGCATTTCAGCTAGTCCTGGTTCTTTATCTGGTGAGGTGAGTCAAACTATTATTTCTGAAGCATCTGTGCCATCACTAGTCCTGCTTGGATTGGGCTGTTGTAGTTTTCCATTGCCCTTAATCACAGGACATGGTAATACTAAGAGAAACCATAAGGGATATTCTGTATTCCAGACAAACTCTTCCTTACCTTTATTGCAGACTAGTTGTACAATTTCTCCTTGACAGTGACACATTATTTTCTTCACCAAACTTTGGTCAAGTTCCTGAACCTTCTCCTAGGCCTATCTATGCAGTTCCCTGTAAAAACATTAGCAAGAACCTTGCTAATTCAGGTTTTCAAGAGTCTCTCATCATCCATATCTGATCAACCTGAATATCTAATTGAGTTTATCATCCTCTACCGTCTGTCAGGTGAAGTCTGATCAGCCTGGCCTTTCTGTAACAAGAAACCTGTTAGGTCAGTTTAGCCAGAATCCCCCTTACATTTCTCTGTGTCTGCTTAGTAATTTTCCATCCACTGACCCCAATAGGCTCCCTTGCAGTAATTTCTCACTTGCTCATGCTGTATTTATTTTGAAAGTGTTTCAATACTGAGGTCTCTTTTCCCGTATTGCAATAGTCCTGAACAAATTCTGGTTTTACCCTTTAAAACTCTGTTTTTTCTTTCATAGTTTAAATGCCACAATTTGGATAGATCAGTATTATCATTGGAGCCCCAGAGCACTCACCCAGGACCTAAGTGTGCACCCTTGAGATTTTTTCTTCACTCCTGACTAATTGTTGTGAGATACTTTGGCAAATCTGACTCCTAAACCATTTGTCTAGACAAATGTACCTTGATTCTGGTAGGGACATATTTTAATTCACAAGATTTTGAAAATATTCTAGAAGCTTTGTTAGTGTCCCAGAGAAAGAGAGGAGGGTTAGAGTCCTAGGATTCTCTCTAAGAAGCCAAGTTAAAGTCACAGGCAAGCGCAAGCTCTGTTAGAGTCCCAAGTTTCTCTCTTCATAAGTATTAGGTACCACTAGTTAAGAAGATGGGAACCTCTCAATGGACTGAAAACTCACTTCTTGCACTCCTGCTGACTATATGCTCCACTGAATCCATCTACTTCCTTTCTTGTTGATGATTTTACTAAGGATGATAGGAACTTCAACGGCCTCTTTGGAAAACTTATGCTCTTTCCAAACTGGCTCTTCTAAAATCTCTCCCTTCCCATCGCCTCTGTTCCTGCTTTCTCCTTTTACTTTTTTGGATTGGTTTCCTTGAATCATCTGATACATCCTCCTTCAAATTCTTACCTCCTCTATCCCTCCATCCACTCTGATGGACTCTCCCCTTCTTACTTCAGCCCCTCAGCTCCCACAGTCATTGGTACTTTAGGCCCCGTATCCTTCATTGAGGGTTCTCAAGGGATTAAGGACCCACAAAAGAAACCACCTAGGGCTAAAAAAGAGAAAAATCTTATTAGGAAACAGAACTGGATGTGTTGTCAACTTAGATATGTTGTAGAGCCATCCAGACAACTACCAGATGTCTCCTCAGTACTGCAAAAATTTACTCCACAGCCTCCAACAGATTACCAATCAGGGCAAAGAAAATCTTAAACTTTCTCCCACAAAATTGGTAAATAAGTAACCATAACTTGCCCATTTCCCAGAAACACAATTCAGATAAAAAATATAAAGGGTTATTAAATCAGTGATATTGTATTATTCTGTTTTACTGAGTGAGAGCTAAAATTTTAGAATGAAAGGTATAAGATTTTTGTTTATATCTGTCTGTAAGTCTATGTAGGTTATGTATATGTGACATTTTCTAACTCTGGATGATATTACTAAATTAATTCATAAAATCCCTGAAGGAATTCTATTCAAATTTGCTTAGAGGTAAATGAGTGCTTCTACAAATTAAGTACTTCTAAAATTCTCAGAAATATAGAAACTAATCCAATTTTTAATATTTCCTTCACCTGTAGTAATTTTTGATAAATAAAACTAGTTTTTAAAATTGTTGGAAAAATAAAAGCAGGTATGTCTTCAGAGTTGTCAGCATTACATATAATGCACACATAAAATTTTTTTCTACCTAGGTATGTTACTTAACCTGTGTTATCTCTACCAGGTGCTTAAGACTATAGAACTATAAATACAACCTAAGGAAAAAATGTACATTAAAAATTAGTTGCTTGATGCATGTCAAGCACAGTAGTTAAGTTAAAAAGAAAAAGAAGGAAAAAAAAGGAAGGAAAAACTATATGTTTAACTTTTTAAATTCTTTGCTTCTGAGATTTTTTTGATATTTGCCTAATTTGTCAACAAGAAATATAACTTAGGATTATGGCTAGATTTGTTTCTTTAGCTCACAAGTTTTCATGATAATTTCAAACCTAATTTTTAAGAACAAGTGAACTAAGTAAATGTGCATTGGATAAAAGTTTATAAACGAACTTTTCAATAATCATAATGCTTTCCAATATGTCTTCTTAAAAATAGCTCACAAACCTTTTTGGTAATTTAAAAGCTCAAAGCTATACCATGTTAATGTTATTGACACAAATAATCAACAAGCAATCTATATATAAGAAAGATATGGTGATAATTACTGAGCCTAATGTAAGGACTAGTCTATAAGTGCTCCTTTCCCCAAGGAAGATTATACACCATTTAAGAACAAAGAACATACATCAAGCATGACAGAAATACATTGTTTCCCAAAGTCACGAGGAGATATTTTGCCACAGTTTAGCACATACACAGCGGGCCAACTTGACCTTGATTCTCTGGGAAGAAAATCTTATCTTCAAAGCAGTACTGGTATCAGCATCAGAGAGTGGGAGACATTACATTCCTATCTTTAAAGAGTACATTCTTGGATTTGGGAAAATGTTTGAGCAGATGTACAATGTATGTTCAATGGGCCATAAGTCAGGCGGCTCTGGAAAAAACAAGTTTTAGGCTGAAGCTGATTTAAACCAGAACAGCTTTCCCATATACCTTGTTATGTGAAAACTTATTATTCTTATTATTTTCATCAAGGTAAATAATGGGTATCCATTGAATATGTAGATATTTTCATGCAGCATTATTCACAATCACTAAGACTTTGAAACAACCAAAGTGCCCATAACAATGGAAAAAGAAAATGTGGTATGTACATATACACAATGGAATACTACTCAGCCATAAAAAGATGAACTCTGCCATTTACGTCAACATGGATGGACCTTGAGGGTATTATGCTAAGAAATATAAGTCCGATGGAGAAAGCCAAATACCATATGATTTCACTCATATGTGGAAGATAAAAAAAACAACAACCAAACAAACACCAAGACTTAGAGATTATATTGTTGGCTACCAGAGGGGAATGGGGTAGGAGAGAGGGCAAAAGGTGTAAAAGGGCACATGCTTACAGTGACAGTGGTAATCAGTCTTTTGGTGGTGAACATGATGTAGTCTACACAGAAATTAAAATATAATGATGTACACTTGAAACTTACATAATGTTATAAGCCAATGTTACTGTAATAAAAAGGTAAAAAAGAAGTCATGATAAACCTCCATCCATACACATGCATATGGATATATGTTACTAACAAAGTATTGCAGATATTGTATGAACTTCATAGAAACTGCTTAATACACTTGTGGTCTGTTTATTGTGTTGAAATGTTTTCTCCCCAGAAATAACTAATTTTCCTAATCAAATAAACTCTCATCAGACTTTAACCATGGCCATTTAAAGTCATTTGTCATTCACAGCCAGTTATTGTTTGACATTGATCCTTCTCTTGGTAAATTTCAAGTATACAATATAGTATTACTAACTATAGTCAACATTCTGTACATTAGATCTCCAGAACTTATTCATCTTATAACCGGAATTTTGTATCCTTTGAGCAGCATCTTCCAATTCCACCCACTCCCCAGCCCCTGGCAACTACAAATTTACTCTCTGTTTCTATGAGTCACCTTTTTTAGATTCCGCATATAAGTGACATCATAAGTCATTTTTCTTTCTGTGTCTGGCTTATTTCAAGCATAATGTCCTCCAATTTCATCCATGATGTTGGAACTCACAGCATTTCCTTCTTTTTTATGTTTAAATGAAAAAGTATAACACACCCTTGTGGATAATTAGCTGCTAATCCTGTTCATTGTATTTGAAGTTTTATTATCTATCTGTATATAGAACTGGGTCCTGCCATCTTACGCATTTTGTTAGCCCTTTCCAAATCCTCAATTCTTCTAATTTCCTTCAATATCTGGCAATAGCTCTCTAAGTGAACATTTTCCATTTTTCTCCCTCCCTCCTGGCTTGGCATTACTGAGAACTAAAACCTGACTGCTTATTCTTACTTAGATTCTTATTGTGACTCATGCAGTCTTGCAGCTGCCCTTTCCCCTCAGCCTATGAAAAAGTCCTGCAAGCAGAAGCTGGACATCTTGATATAAACTTCAAATAACTAATCACTACAACAATCATGCATTTATAACCTTCCTGCCTGGAACTGCTGCTACATGGGCCACTCAAAAAGTCCACTTGAACTCCTACATCTTCGATAACCCCATTAGATGCTTGACCACTCACACCACCAAGCAAATATCTTCTACTACCAAGTGTTAAAATATGGTTCAGCTGGTCAAAAGGTGATTAAATGGGAAATAGACTTATATTGTTCAGAGGTTGTTTACTTCATTAAGCAGGGGCTACTGACAAAGACTTTCTCCTTGACCAAACACTACACAGGCACCTCTGGACTCTATTCTCTACTAAGCCTTAACTTTGGCCTATAAAAACTTGAACAAACACTAAAGTATTTCCCAACAGCTCAAGGCCACATCCTTAGGAGACCCTAAACCCCCTTAAAGTGCCTGCCTGAGAAAACCCAAAGCTGCCAAAAGAATTTACTGTTTGTTCCATCCAACTCCTGAAGATAGAGTCCCTGTATGCCAGTCTCTGTGGGAATGTAGGAGCCTAACTTTGATAAGCGCTAGTTAACAACCCAGATGGGTTTCACGTGGAACAACCCCCTTCCCAGTTTTTGTAATTTGTCACCTCCCTAAATCTACTGAGCCCTGACTCACTCCTGTTTCTTAAAACACCCAGTCACCTCTGAGTAGATCCAAGTTGAATTCAGTTTGCATTGGACTCTTTTTCCTATTGCAGTGGTCTATTTCTGATTAAAATCTGCCCTGAACAGTTTTACTAGTGTCTGACTTTGTTTATATTTGATACATCTTAGCTACCTTTCTACAGGTAGCAACTTCTTGGAGTGTTACTGTTTCATGTATCAAGTTTGGATGTTTATCTTCTGGAAATTGGGTTTTGTATTGTCATAACTAGTTTTTAAAATTAAAGTTGTTTTATATTTTAATTTGTTTTTAAATTTTTCCAATATTATGAAAGTATTTAAATTGTTGTGATATCAATTTTTTTTCTTTTAGAGTAGTAAAATTTATGTAAGCTTGAGAAACTACTCCCTAAGCAATCGAGCACACAGGAAATGGATATTTAAAAACACACATTTTAATTTTTCACACTTAGCTACTTACTTATTGTTTTGTACTTTATGTGCAAGGATATAATATCCCCCTTTCCAATTAGGTCATTATAACACCTTTTATTATACAATCTGCTCTTTGTCATTTGAGAAGAGATTGCAGGAACTACAATGAAAACCTAAATAGATAGATATAGATATAGATATATCCTAAATATAGATATATATATATATATGTCCTAATCTTTATAAGAGTAAATTTGGCATCATGACATTTCTCTCTTGTTTAGCCAGCACATGCAAAACAATAAGTATATTCTCTTGTAACCACAATACCTTGACCACACTAATAAAAATGACGAAGGGGATTTATTGAGATTATCTAATTTCTTTTCTACTTTCAGATTTCTCCAATTCTTGGGTTCCAATTAGGGTGCAATCAAGGATTGCACATTGCAGTTGACACTTGTTTCTCTAATGTCCTTGTGAATCTTAGGCAATTCTTGCTGACAGCATTTCTCATTTTAATTTTTTTAGTACATTCTTAATGGATTTTAGTCGACGGCACTCCTCTTCTTTTTCTTTCCCTGTTTGCTGCAGCCTGAGGGACATCTCTATCCTGTGGGCATCCAGCATGCCTTCATATTAAGTTGTAGGACAGTAGAGAAAGTAAGAGGCAAGCATAACATAATCCTAACAATGTAAAATAAATATTAAATACTCTGTCATTAGTGAATGTCTTTAATGCCACTGAACTGTACACTTAAAAATCATTAAAATGGTAAATTTTGTATGATATATATTTTACCTCAATAAAAATATTAAATCAGAATATTAGAAACTTTAAACTATACTTTCATAACATAATATATATGAATATTCATACATATTCTCAGTTTTGTAATGGTATTTTTGTTTTGTTTTGTAATTTTTATTTTCATCATAACAGAGGAAGTGCTTTGTTTCACAGTGTAAGAATACAGAAGTAATTATTGGTACTTTTATCAACCTTAACAAGGGAGGGACTTTATTTTCCTAGATGTCACTGCATTTGGTCTGTTCCTCATTATAGTGTGGTAAAAGCAACAATAATACCGGGAAGTAATTGTATAAATGCAGAAGAGCAGTTGAACCAGCAGAATAGCCAACGCACAGTCAATAGCACTATGATTCTTCTTGATTGATTATTGTATTACAGGCTGATACCATTAACCTTGGTTTCCCTGTGTATACACTAACAACCTTATACCCCCAAACAATGTAAGTAGACACAGGCTTTTGTAGTTCTGAGAAGCGGCAAACTTCTTCCCCATTTACTGAGACTCTTTAGATTTTGATGTTGGTGCAAGTAGTGGAGCTAATCTTTTGCTAGTTTATCTTTGTTTCCATGAGGATTTTGTTATACTAGAAGAAAAAGAAAACCTATTTAATTTATTTTAAAGTACGATGGTTTAATCTTTAGCAGGACCACATGAAATCTTTGGAGAGGCAGACCAGGGCTGGGATGGTGGGTCAACTGTGAGAGCAAAGACCCAGATTCCTACTGGATTCCATTTCCTCCATACTTCATGCGCAGCCCTTCACCTTCATGTGTTGTTGTTTCATGGGTGGCAAATTGGATCTATCTTTTATGCTGTCAGGAGTAAGTGCAATATGTGAAGAAAATAGAGAAAATGGCTTTTTATTCAGCTTTGCCATTTTCTACTATAAGCAAAAGCTTCCTAAGGTACTTCTACTTTTTTTCAACATTCACAAAACTGGCATTGATTCTTCCTTTATAAAGGAACTGGGAGTATGCCAGTTGTGGAGACAAACTTTATTTGTTTCTCTTTTTTCAGTTGTGCTTTGCTGTGAGGAACATAAACACGTACCTGATTTATCTTAACATGGAGAGATTCATCAGTCACATGAAACAACTAATCCTAGGAGAGACAGGAAAAGACTGATACAGTAGCTCAGCAGCGTTATCAAGGACTTACCCTTTTCAGGATTCCATTGCTTCCAGTCTCAATGTCTAGTTCTTCACCCTGGGTCTTGTTGAGTCACATTGCAATAAAGCAGTGGTAAGTAGAGACTTCTGTCTTTTTGCAGTCTGGAGTAAGATGACAGTGTGAAGGACCAAGGTCAAAAGCTTTTTCCTTATGCAGCTTTGCCTTCTCCTGGAAAGAAAATCAACTAAGAGACTTCTACCTACTTCCAATGCCTCATTGGAACAATTGTCTTGTTGTTGTCTTATTGTGTCAGTTGTCTTATTGTCTCCTTCCTAACACTATACTTGGACTAGGGCTTCTCAGAACTCAACTAACTTACTGTATCAATCATACTCCCTGCTTCTGCAGGGAGAGGTTGGCAGTGCCTTGACTCCAGTGTTGCTTTAGTTGTAATTATAGTATGGCTAGTGTTGAGAAGCTGGAGATGAGCACAGCTAATAAGCTCATTGAAAGGTCTTCTCAGATCCATATTTACTAGACCTAGGGCCACTTGTTTAATCCCTCCCCATTACTTATGCTTCATTTCCTTATCTGTTATATGGAGATAATAAATTGATTACTTCATAGGAATCTTTGGGGAATCAAATACGTTAAGAAATCTAAAGAGTGAACATTTTTTGGAGCATTATACATGCTTGATAAATAATTGCTGTTATTTTCCTAACCTGACATCTGAGGAGAGGGTTTTTCTACACAAGCAGCAGTACAGAAAGAAAAAAGAAAAAAACAATGAGGACATTGTATCTTCTATGACTATCCTGAAACTAGTTAACCTCAAGCATTTAATTCTGGGGGATAGGTCAGGAAGAGAATTCAAATGGCCATAAAATTCCTTATCAGGTTAAAACATAGTATTTAATTATTGGAAATTGTTGGCTGCTGGTCATTTAACATCCATGCCTCAGTTACTTATCTGTTTCACTGCAATAAAATGAAAACACTTTTAGCTGTTATTTGCATGCATTTTCACCTTTAAACCTCAAGAAATTACATGAGGAATGTACTCAGTTGAGCAATGTGAGTCTCAGTGAGGTTAAGAAACTTCCTAAACGTAATAGCATTCTTCGGCTTGAAAACTGTGATAACCTCATCTAGGTTAGATGCCATTAAATGGGATGCCCTTACTCTTCAAGTCCCACCTCAAATAATTCCATTTTGTTCTAGATCCACATTAAAAAGAAAACCACCAGCCCCGAATGGCATCACTCTTGCCAAAAGCCCATGATACCAAACCTAGATTTAATACCAGACCTTACTGCAGTTTTAATCTCTGCCAGAAATGTAATCTTAATTGGCCAGTCTGGAATTTTCTAGTCAAGTAATCTGTCACAAGGGCCCTCTCCATGGGCCAGAGGAAGAGGCAATTTGCACGATATAACCTCTGCCAGTTCCTTTCCCCAGAAACGAAGGTGTCCTGGCCCAAAATAACCCTTTCCTTTTTCTGTTAATGACTTTCTTGCCCCACCCTTCTTCCTATAAAAACCTTCCATTTTATACAATCCCTTGGCACACCCTTCTAGTTGCTAGAGGGGATGCTGCCCAATTCATGAATCACTTAAAAAGCCAATGAGATCTTCAAATTTACTCAGTTGAATTTTTTATTTGTTTGGTTTTTTGGTGAGGAAGATTGGCCATAAGCTAACATCTGTTGCCAATCTTCCTCCAGTCTTCCTCTATTTTGTATGTGGGATACTGCCACAGCATGGCTTGATGAACAGCGTGTAGGTCCACACTGGGATCTGAACATGCCATCCCTAGGCCACTGAAGCAGAGCACTCGAACTTCACTACTATGCCACCAGGCTGGCCCCTGAATTTTGCTTTTTAACACTCATAACTACTGTCAATTATCAGCATGATCCCAGGGAACAAGTATACACCATTACCCAGGAGGAAATAGCTATATGCCAAAAGAAGTACAACATACATTAGCAGAAACCTGGGGAATATGTTTAGAAGTGGATGCTAAGTTTGTTATACCAAAGAGGGCAAAATATAACATCTGATTGGCTTGAATTCATGATATCAGAGCAATTATCTTGGATTCAAGATTTATTATGTTATCTCATGTAGCTGGCAATAGCTCAAACAGTTGGTTCATGAGAGCACTTAACTGAGAAAGAGATGGTATATGATTTACCATAACGGCCAGCAGGCATATAGCAATAATTGTTATGTTTTGGCGCACACGTATCTTTGTGGTAGCTAACTTATCAGAGGGTCCCTAGAACTAAATAGATGGGAAGCATACTGATGTATTATTTGATTTATATAAAAAGAAAAGCTGAAAATGCAACAGATTCCCACCTAGCTTCCACAACTAAGTCAATTCAGAGACTCAGAATGGCATTAAATAGACTATGAATAGGATACTTATTTACAGTCTGAGAGCTGAAAAAAAAAGAGAGATCATTGCTTTGTTTGACTAGCTGGGAACATGTTCCCAAAGGGTGACTCAATATTTTTTGCCGCTCTTCACTTTTCTGCAAATGACAGTGTCACAAGTATTGATTTTGGAGTTATAAATAAATTTTAGTGAGTATGCGGATTTGCAAATACTGAGTCTATAACTAATGAGGATCAACTGTATCTTAAAACAACATGAGGTGTGAACATCAGTTTCTGAAGTAATATAACAAGCAAATTAATTCTTAGAAGGTGAATATATTTTTCAAGTGCACAGAATTTAGGAAAGAAAGGACATGCAAACAGACAGGAAAATGTGCAAGTATAAGGAAGCAAGAAGGAGCGTGGCACATTGACAAATTACAAAGGAATCAGAATGGCCCCTTCACAGAGTTGTAAATGGAGGTCTGGAGGAAGAGATGCAAACAAACTGGTAGGAAGGACTGATGTCATTTTTTCTCTATACAATTAGGAGAAACTGAGGGATCATAATGTGGGAAAAGGTCTAATAACATTTTTGCCCTTTAAGGTGATGCTACTTAAATGCTAAATTTTGCCGAAGTTGGGGACAGGAAGATGCATATAAGGAAATTGCTGCACATATGCAAACAAAATTTGAGTGACAATGATGTGACATGTACTTTATTAAATGTAGTGGATGGACTGGTGAACGAAAATACAGCTTTCCTCCTGTAGTTGACATCAATGGATTGGGAATTCACATATATGAAGAGGCAATTAAATTTTGGGTAGTCACAGTGTCCAAGAGACACTACCCCAAAATATGGCAGTTTGGCATATTAAGTATATTAAGCTCAAGGAATTTTGGAAAGGGAAAGTGTTGAAGGACTCTTTGACCTTTTTCCCTGAAGCAGGTGGTAAGAGGTTCATGTGAGAGGTGCCCTCCCTATAGTCTGAGGAAAGGAGCATCCTTATCTCTGAAGATAGAGGGACACCAAGAGGAATCTGAATGAACAGGCCTTGCTAACTTTCCTCCAGTTCACTATACATGGCTCATACCCTTTTCTCCTATCATATTTTTCCATGTCATCAAATCTTGTATAAAAACACTCAAGTTTAACTGTTTCTCTGGGTCCTCATTTCTTTATGAAGGTTCTCATATCTTGTAAAACTTAAATAAATTTGTATGCTTTTCTCTTGTTAATCTATCTTTTATTACAGAGCCCCAGCTGAGAACCTAGAAGGGTAGAAAGAAAAAGATTTTTTTTCCCTCCCTTAAAGTAGAAATGCTGTGAATAGGATTGTGCACAACACTAGAGTATTTCAGAGAATGTATGGGCATATACTCTAGATATAAGTTGTCAGGGAAGTCTCCTTGCAGGAAGCAAATTGTGACTAGAGACATAAAGGGTAAGCAGTAGAAACTCAAGGACAATAGAGCAGGGAGTACAAAAATAGGATTTTTGTTCCAGGTAGGAAATAACATATAAACAGAGGACAAAATATTTGACGAACCATAGGTAGAGAGTATTTCATCCACCTGAATCAAGTTGAATACTCTATGCTGGGGCTAGATTTTGAGGTATTTAATCACATTTCAATTATTTCATTGTATGCTGTTCTTTTCTTATACACTCATTAGCTACATTTGACATCTTCCTAATAGGAATACCACTGGTGTCACTGTAAATTGAAAACTTTTGTTTCTTGGTGTCTGAAAAGTTGCTAATGCAAACCCTTGGTTTTAGAGAAAGAGTCTGCGCAGGCAAAAGGGTAGAGGGTTTGGCAGAGAAAAAAAAGCTCTTAAAGGCTAAGGGAGAGGTCACGGGAACTATGGCTTACAGCTTGCACAATTCTCTTCATCCACTTAGACTTTCCTGTGCAGGATCCCAAATCAGCCCATGAATATTCCATGCACAAGCTACTTTCAAGCCTTCATCACTCACATTTCAGGAATGGAAACTTCACTTGATTTATAGTATTTAGGACTGCAGCGCCATCTGGCATCAAGAAAATGAGAGGCCAAAGTCAGCCTCATTAAAAAGCTCACAGAATTTTATCAACAGCTGCTGGGGATAATATAATACTGAGTTGTGATGGGAGAGATAAAGTCTCAGAAGGCTGAAAGGAGAAAAAGTCAGAGCAAGAAAAAGATGGGTCCAAGAAGCAAAATTAACTGCTTTCATTTGAGTAGGAATCTTTAAAAAAAAAAAAAAATCTTTATTTCAAAACTGAAACATAATGCCATGTTTTGCTTCTGGGGAAAAACATAACTCAGAATTATTCACAGTAAAAATGCAGGGAAGCCTGGCTCCATATCTACTTTTTACACCACTTTCCATAGTTAACTGTTGAGAAGATTGGCGTGAACCCTGTTACGCTGACTGATTTCATTTACAAACGTGGACGGACAGGAGTATGTTTCCATGGACACACATAAATAGGTCATATTTTATTATAAAACCTGTTCAGTTGTTTGTCTTATGACAAATTCATCCTTACATAAGTGTGTGTATGTATGTAGGTCATTTTCCCCATTGGTTGCAAGATAGTTCATGAAATTTCATAGTCTAAATCCTTGGTAGGTTGTTCTTCAAAACTTTTCCAATCTGAGAAAAAAAACTATCATTTTATTTTCACCTTGTAGAAGTTTCTCTAAGTCAATATATTCTCGTGTTTTGTTCTTTTCCTAATTTTTCATTGGAAGGAGTCCAGTCACTATTTTAACAAGTGAAGTTTTTCTTAGCATATTTTTTTTAGGTGGGTGATCTCTTTTCTCTATCAATTTATTTTCCATAGCTT